ATTCTCTTCTGCAAGTAATAACAGGTGAAGTGTTATATGCAGTAACTTGCTGTGACTGAGCTAAAAGTTGGTAGAAATCAGGGAGCAGTTTTTGTCACTTTAGGGCTCGTTTTGTATGCACTGAAGTTCATGAGTTGTATGTTAATTTTGAAGGGTATCTTGCAGTACTTACAGGATAACAAGACAAGTATCTGCAATGCTGACTACATGACCTCTCAGGAAGTGTTATTTACCCAATTCCACTCTGACAACTGAGTTGCAGTTCTTATGCCTACTTTGCTGTCTTAACTGCAGTTAATGTGCTCCTGAAGAGCATATTGTTTCTTCTTAAGCTGTCCACCTCTATATGAGGATTGTTCTTGTGCTCCCTTGACCTGCATGACACATGCAACTTGGAAAATGCCTTACCGTAAAAATATGTTTACTAGTTTAACCAAGGATGCTGACAAATTATCCTTGTTTTCACTTCAGAAATAAAACTCTCTGCTTATGATTCTTCTTTTTGCTGGTCATATTTTTTTTTGTAAGTCACGGGCCTTTTGAGATCACTGCACATGAGTAGGTAACTGATATTATGATTAGAAGAACAAAAAATAACTTCTTGGACGTGACAGTGATGCTGTGTGCATGTTCAGAGCATTGCTGGTAAGGATATGCTTCCTTCTCTAAGCCCTGAAGTTTTGGAGGGTCACAATGAGAGGACAAATGAGCCCATGTCCCTTCAAGAAAGTAGTCGTGAGCTGCAAAGTCTGCTGTTTATTGGGAAATCGCTGCTTTGTTTTTTGTATTTGTGCTAGTAATGAACCCTGTCAGTACTCATCCACAGATGTAACTTTAAGTGCAACTGTCTTTGATCGATCACACTGCAAGGAGGCTGCTTGTAATTCCCTGTTTGTTCCAGTTTACATACTAGACCATCTCTTGGTCACATTATTTTTATTTTGGAGGGAGTATATAAGAGACAATCTCGTATTTATAGAAATGATTTTATCTCCAGCCTCTCAAGACAAATTTTATTTATTCAGTATTTATACTTTATTCAAATGAAAGTGATATATATATTTTACACATTCGACCTTGTATCAGATAGCAATCCTTTCCCTGCTATGCAAGTCTGGTATGTTTTCAATCACCTCTTCTTTACTGATGTAGACACTGGCAGCAAGTTTTACAAGCTTTTGTTTTATTTTCTACTCCTCTTATATGTTCATACTCAAAATCATTTCAAACAGATAGTTCAAACTATGAACTATCTTTATTCTGATCCATATGACAGTGAAATTATACAAACAGTATTTACTGCTCTGAAAAGCTTGAATAGCATCCAGTGGAGGATCAGCTTCTCTGGTAATAATTCCTGAAGAGAAATGGATTACCCTTTTCATAGCTTAAGAAAAAAACTTAATACTGATTGAGAAATTCAGTCTTTTTTTTTTTTTTTAACATATTCAGTCGAAGAAAATAAAGGCACATATAGGTCATTTTTAAGAAAAAAAATATAAATAATATGAATATTTCTGGTTAGTTTGATTTTTGTGATATATTGAAACATTCAAACTTCAACATCGCTTGGCTACATTTTTTTTTGCTGCAGAGATTGATGTGTTACACGTTCTCAGTGTTCTATAACACAATACATCAACTTATCAAGCTGTTCTAGAGGAACAAACTGTGGCATAAAATTAAAGCACCACAGAGACAGTACTGAAATTTTTGCCATGTGTGCTACATCTTCAAGTTCTGGAAGTAAGCTGAGGAAATCTCTGTTTTTATACTACATTTAAGAAAAGAAGAGTATTATTTACAAAGCAATGCGCTGTATTTATTCCAACATTGTTCTTTGCAAGTCTGTACTTATGAAATAGAGTGAGTCTTAGGCTGTGGATCACGTAGGCTGGAACATGATCATGTGGCTGGTAGGCTTTTGGGAAGGCAGGCTGCTATCTTCCTACCCTTTTCAACAAAGGTTATGTAAAACAAGTAACAGTAATCAGAAAGCAACATCTGAAGTCTTCTTTCTCATTTCCCAGAGAATATAAATACATTTTACACAAGAAGGGAGAAAATAAAACCCTGAACTAAATTGTGAAATATGACATGAAGGTAGTAAATTTTATTAGCAATTGAATTTTTAAACTTTAATAGTAGAAATTTCTAAATGTGCATGTCTGCGTTACCAGCCCAGTGCAAACACTCCTATAGCACAAGTTACTTCCTGGCATAACACAGAGCTTTGCCTAGGAGCAAATGCAAAAAAAAAAAGTGTTTATGGTGAGTCTTAAGGCAGACAAACCATGAAGGATCCAGCCTGGCTTTGTGGAATGATCTGTTGATGAACGGAGAAACCAATGTTAGGTCTGTTTTTTCTTATGTCACTTGCACCATGGGGGAGATGAAAATAAACACCCAGAAGTCGAACAGTGATGGCTGCCACAGCCTACTTTTTAAAAAAGCTTGTCAGCTCTTCGTGCCTGAATAATAATCCAAGCAGAATGAATGGGTACACAGGTTCTAAAGCAATGTAACACCCACTTGAAATTTTAAAGCTCCTTTTTTTACAGTGCTGTAAATAATGAGAATTTAACCAGGATCTCCTGACAGTATGGTGCACAACTGTACACCTACAAGTGAAAAGCATTCACTTACACATTCTTGAGAAGAAAATCTGCTGGATACTTTGCAGGTACCCATTTTTTTCTTGACTTGTGAAAAGCAGACACAAATATTTTGAAGAGCAATGAAATTATGCCTTCACAATGAAGCGGCTTACGTGTTCCTTTAATTTGAGAAGCTTGTAGAACAGAGTCATGAAGAAATTATAAGTACTGTACATTTAAATATAATTTAACTAAAAAACAATTCTCCTTATGCAGCTCATTGAGAGACAACAACAAAGTGACTAGCAGACCTTCCAAGTAAAAGTGAATAGCAGTGAGTCAGTTGGAGCTTCCATCCTTGCAGAAACTAGTGGTACTTGTTGGACTGTTGAATATTACAAAGAAGTTAAATTATGGCTTATTGCAAAAGCTAAGAGGGTGAAGTATTATCAAGAAAAATCACTCATTTGGTTGCAGAAACTTTCTTGCCTAGGGGTTTTTAAGAGTCTGGATTGAGGACAGTGTCACCAGAGCACATATGTTCTTTCTGTGGTAGAATTTAGGATATTTATTTATTTATTCAAGCTAAAAGGCTAACAACGTAATTCACCTTTCATGGGGTGAGCAGGGTGACATGCATTGGTTTTCAACTATAATTGATCAACTATAATTTTTATGTAAGGACTATATAAAAAGATGTGATGTCTATTGATAAAGTGATTCATAACATTGTAAGCTAGTAGATTGAAAACATAATTAGGCTATCTTGTAATTATGACTTTCAGCATGAGCTATTGCTTTGTGTTTTCATGATTGAGAGACAAAAAAGGCTGTTTTCACAGCATGATCCAGAACCCCTTCAGATGTGCTCTGTGCTGTGACCCATGGCTGGGTAACTGATCCATGTTGTACGTTGTATCGTCATATAACAAGAGCACACATTAACACTTGGCTCAGCTAAAACTGAATTCCCTAAAAGGTACCATACAGAGTCATCCAGGTGATGTCAGTGTGCCGTGACATCACTTGTCACCTCTGCTCTGGTCCAGGCATGGTACCAAGCAGATTCTGTGAGCTGCTCCCTTAAAAGCACTGGTAGTTTTGCACTCCTGTTTAGGATTAGGGAGCAGAGGCTGATGCTGTGAACATATGCAGTTATAGCAAAAATGCTAAGTCACAGCCTGAAGGAGTGATTGAGCACCTGGTGGGAAGGCAGGGCCAACCCAAGGGAGCTCAGGTGTATGCAATGTACCTGAGTGACCATAAGAGCAGGAGCCAGGATCTACCCCTTCCAAGACCTCACTAAAAGGGAGGCAGTGGAGGTAAGGGGATCTTGCTGAAGATCCTGTGTACACAAGGCCTTCCATAGGTAAGCAGATTCTTTCCTTTCTGAGCCCTTGGCTGTTACCTTTGAGCAAGTTCTTATTTGCTGTAGCTTAGGACTTTGCTACTCTGCTATCATTACTGCACTTTCTATCACCTTACAGCGGTAAAGAAAGGGAAAACGTAGGATTGCAGCTTTGGTTTGGAGAGAGCGGGAAGATATAATCAGGGTCTTGAATTGGGAGAACTGAGACTGTGCTCAGACTTGTGTGTACTTCTGGGAGGGAAATATACATCTCTATACATATCAGACCATATGCCCCATGCATAATAAGCTTCATGCTTCTGAGAAGTGGCAAATGTAATGCAGATACAGAATAAATCTGCTGCTTTGCAGTGTCTTTATCAATCTGTATCTTTATACACTGGTTTTTAAATACACTTCAATTATTGTAACTGGGAAAACTTATAAGAGGAAAAAAAAAATTATAAACAGTGGAAAAATGTTTTAGTGCATGTCTGTGATCTCCTCTAATACATTATGGTATGTGACAGTTCTGATGGACCACTGATGGATAACGCAGCACTGGTGCTGAGGTAGAACAGGGTAAACCCTGCCAGGTCTGTCTGGCAGCATACTGCTCTGCTCTGTCACAGCTCTGTCAGGGATTGAGTAAATTCATGCATATCCCTCCTGCTCAGGCCTGGAGAACTGCTAATTGCCTTAAGTAGAAGCTTAGAACAGAGAGAAACACTTAGTCTTCTAACAGGTCTAAATCTTATTTACCGTTCTGCTACAAGCTCTTTAATTTAAAAAAAAAAAAAAAAAAAAAAATCCCTAGTAAGAGATGGCTGTAATCTTCCTGTTCTGAGCCCCAGCCAGATCCCTGGTTAGGTGAAATGCCAGCTCCTAAGACCCTCACAAGGTACTGCTTGTGATGTGAACGCTGCTTGTTGCAGAGACAAGTGGTGGTCAGGAACCATCCTCCGTGCAAATAAGCGCGAAGCACTTCCCTGTCCATTCCGGCGCAGTAACTGCGGGAAGCAATTTGCTCCGTAGCGTGCAGAAGCGGAGCGCGACTATTGCTTGCTTGCTTCCTTCCTGTAGCAAAGAGGCCCCGCGGAACCGCGCGGAGCGAGGGCGGGAGAGCCGGCAGAGGGCAGCGCTGTGAGGGAAAGCGGGCGGGATGCTGCGGGCGGACGGAGCACCGAACGCAAATGCGTTGTGCTGGAGCTGTGAACCCGTGATGGCACGGAGATGTCTGAGCAAAAAGGTCGTGAAAGTCTCTGAAAGTACCGCGTGCTGCCTTTGAACTGTGACCCCCTGTCTGTGTAACTATAACTCTGTGCAGCTAAATAAGCAGAAGGAGGTGAGTAAAATCCTTTTCGAGGGGCAAACAAATTAAAAAAAAAAAAAATCTCTAAACAAGTGACTAGCTTGCAAAAATAACACTTGTTCACGGTGTGCTGTGGTCAAGCATGCTGCTGGTTCAGCAGCAGCTGATAGCTCCCACCTGTGGGCTGCTGGAGGAGGGTTAATCCTTGCCTGGTTCGGTGAGAGCAGCAGGGGGAAGCTGGCTTCGTTACAATTCAGGAAGGTGTCAAAGGGTGACCTTCATGGGAATGCTTGATGATCTCCCTTAGGCTTGTTTTGTGTGATGCTTACTGAATTGAGTAACACTCTGTAGAAGCTACAGCTTTAAAAGGCGATATAAAGTGTGCATGCTGTTGTGGTTTCTGCAATCGTAGGGCTGAAATAAATTCCTGCACAACATTCAGCAAGGATAGAGCAGCTTCTGTATCATTTGTGAAAACGTAGATCCAGATTAGGGTTAGGAGCAGGGCAGTGATATTTAGGATGAATGTGAAGGCTGTAGCTTAATATGAGTGAATGTGGTGTCCTTGCTCTTAAGTGTTACAAGTCTTGGAAGGCTGGAGCATCTGGGAAAAGGACACACTTCCACTTATGCTCTGAAACCATCTTTCCAATCTGGGATCTTCCTTAGAACTTAAATCTGAGGGTGAATTTGGATCCTATGGGTTCCCTAGGTGCCCATACAATCCACTAACTGTCATTCAGATTAAATCACCTCGTGCTTTATACAATTCCTAAAAAGATTTAGCTTCCCAGTAGTTTACATTGTCTTTTCCAAGCACAGGTAAAAATTTTTTTCTTTTTTCTTTTCCTGTTGTCTATCATTAGCTTCTATATATCACTATATTAACTATGAGTATGTGAGTAGATTTTGCTGTGGGTATTTACATCACAAGCTGTTTCATAATGTCTGTTGTATGGAGCTAAAATATGAAGGTACAGTCATAAGATGCTTAAAGTCATTTTGTTTGTTGAGCATCTTCAGTATCAGAATAATTCAGTATCAGTATGTGTGTGGGGTGCTGATAAGATAAACAGCAGTTTTCTGCATTCGTGACTGTAGGGACTCAGCAATGAGACAGCACTTCCTTGGTACTGCACAAGGCAACCCAAAGGCCAGATGGAAAGGCAGGGAGGAGGTCTGCAAACTCCAGGATGACAAGCTATCTTTTCATAATAATCGCCATCTTTTCTAAAAAAGGAAGACTGGGCATCGCTAAATGGCATCAAAAGCTGTATGATATCAAGCTGGGTTTCTTGGCAGTGCTCAGCCTTAGTATTTCAGTGGTGGTGGTTACTGACTGCACCCTGAGAAGTCCGTGTGATGCTTACAGATGAATTTGTGGAAGTGAGTCAAGGTAGCACTTGAAAAATCTTTATTCTAATCATTGAATCTGTATGTAATTAAAAATTGCATGATTAATCTTTGATAAAGTCATAGCAGTGTAACTTGTACTACTTTTTATTTAGAGAACAAGGAGGTTTCCTCTTCCAGACTACAGAGTAAGGATTTGTTATGATCTATTTCCACTATGCTGGTACTCTTTGCTGATTCTGGCCAGTTTTGCCTATTCAGTTTGAAGATCTTATGCCACTTCTCACAGGGATTAGTCTATTTTCTGTAAAAGGATGGAGATTTACCAGATTTGTTTGCCCAATTTAGATGGTAGATACAGGTAGCTTGGTTTAATGAAGGGGCCTTCTTCAGAAGCCTTTGAGAAGAACGTGTTCTGAACAGGGAGTTCCTATTAGTAATGAATGGGAGAATGCCATATTTACATAAATCCATGTGGTGAAAATCAGTTTCTTTGCATGGGGACAAAGCAATTGTAAAGGTTATGATAAATTAGTCTCATTGTAGACCTTTGTGCAGGTGGGAAGACTGTTCTGACAAGTGAGTTTCATGAGAAGTGAACGAAGCATGACTTGAGTCACATACTGCCTTGTCCACTTGCCTGTGTAGGTGTGTGTCTGCTGAGTCATAAGGGCTGGAAAGCTATCTTGCCTCCTCAAGAGCGACAAGCCTTACCTATCACCCAGCAAATTTATAAGTAGGTTGCCTACTCTAACTCTGATACACCTGTTCTAACTGCTCCATAATGAGCAGTAACGTTTTTGGGACAAGTCCTCTGACAGTGGCATGCCAAGCAGTGTGTGCTCTGCATTCACCCTGGCTGGCTGGCGCTGCTGAGCTTGTCACCTAATGGCATGCAGCATGACACAGATCCCTCCCATCTGTCATTTCTGTTTTGTGACCATCCATTGTTCCAGTGGGCTGGGGAAGCAAAACCACAGGTATCTCTCCATCAGGTTCTCTCTTTGTAGGCTGGGGAGCTGAAATATCCCTTTTGTTCTCAGGAAACCTGCTTGCATTTGGGAGTAGGAGGATATTACAGAGAAATCAAGCAGCCTCTGCTTTTGTTTGCCTGTAGTGCTAGTGCTGGCAAAATAAAGTCATTTGCTTAGGAAGAATCATGGACTCACTGCTAAGATCAAACTCAGGAAAACATACCTGCTTTTGAAGCACTTTCCACTCAGTGGAACTGAGAAAATAGCCAGGAACCAACTGAAGTTCAATTTGACAAAAAAAAAAAAAAAGGGGGGGGGGGAAATACCTTTTATTTCATCATTATTTTAAATGATGAACAGCAGCACAGCACTGAAGGTACATAAGTAATTCAGTGATTCCCATCTAGGAACACAGTGACTTGACATAGAAATGAAGACTAGTTTGATGTGATTCCAGTGCAGGCAGGTAATTCCAAGCAGCTGGTGTGCATTATCTAAAATGTCATTAAAATCATCAGCTTTAAAGGTACTAGAGACCTAAGTTTTCAAGTGTCCCTGGATGACTTGAATATAATGTTATGGATCTGAAATGAAAACTTCCTCTAATGGATTTAAACCTATTGCACAGTATTTGATGAGTTGAAGACAAGAGTTTTCAGTATTTTGACAGAGAATGTGAGTGCTTTCAGGCTTAGAGGTACGCATTAATAGTAAAACTGAATGAATATCTTCCTTTTGCTTTTCTGTAACTTATATAAAAGAAATTCTGCAATTGTTTTGTCTTCAACCCTTATTTTGGATTTCCTGGGTAAGGAGCATAATCATAATTCCTAAGATTTTTTTTCTGTTAAGAGGTTTTATCTGTAATTAACTGCAACTATGGATTCTTAGTACTAAAAGAAAGAAATAAAGATGGAGATTAACTGGAAAAAATATTTGAAAAAATGAGTTACGTGACAATGTGATTTATTTCAAACACTAAACAGATTTGTTAAGGGGGTATTTTTGTCGTCTCATGTTTGCAATAAAACAACAAATGCACTAAGAGCTACCTCCTGCCATCTCTTGAAAGAAAAGGGAATAGTGCCCAACAGAGTGTGTTTCAACTGCTAACCAGCAGATCTGTCTGTCTTACGTAACTTGATCTTAAACAGCATCATTATTGAAATAAAGTTTAATATCTGATCTGATTTTTGAACTGGTAGTGAAATATGCACAAGAGCAAACAATCCACGCTGTGCTATTTATTAAGCTAATTTAATGGCTATGTCTGTGTGTTAAAATGTGTGGTGCTGATGAAAAGAGTACATGGGCAGCTGGAAAGACAAAGTAGTAGTTTAGAAGTTGTACTATTTGTTCCTGCTCATTACCTCTAGACACGTGTTGTTAGGATGCCTGTTGTTGAGAAGCTGATATAAGAAACTGCAAGTGATGCTTTTTTGGCAATGCATTTGTTATGTTCTACACACAAATTTTGGAAAGGTTTCCAATTTTGTCTTGTGTGCTTGCTGAAAGTATTGGTACCTTCTCACAGTGTAAGTCAAAGATTTGAGGTAGTTACTTGAGTCCAAATTGTTCTGTGTTGGTTTCTAAAATACAGATATTGTGAAAACATTTGTTGAAGTCTTAATCTTTTATTTAATCCAGAGCATTTCATGTGAAAAGCAGAGCCCAAGGATCCTGAACCACAGTGGATAGTGTCAGCAGTCAACTTAAAATCTGATTCTGATGCTGTGGTTCTTTATGAATCAAGATGCCTGTGTGTAGAAACTTGCTAGTTCATGTTCCTTTCTGACCAGTCAGCAATTTCGATATCAAGTCCTCTGATTTGGCATTTGGCTTTACTTTTAGTTTTCACAGGACAGGTTGCTTTCTGATGTAGAAAAGAGCTTGATGCCATGAGCTGTGTGAGAAGATATTACTTCCTCTGGTTGAAGTGTGGACCTCCTGCATGTAGATTATTCTCAAGAAGAGAAGCTTTATGTTCACAGGCATCTCCTCAAAATGCCTGCAGTAACATGAAACAGTCACAGATGTGAGCTATGACTAAGCTACTCTATCCTAGACTTCACCTGCATTTGGCTCCTGGGTAATATTGTAAGATATTTTTCCCTGTGTTTTATTTATTGTAGCAGGAGCAATTTTCCTACAACAGGTGTATTTTCCCTTTAATGAGAAAGCTCCAGCCAAAGACCTTTGTGCTGCTCCAGTGTTAAATATTGACTCCTCATCTCACTGCTTGGAGACAGATGTGAGGAAGGCCATGCCAATGATGATGCATAAAGATGTTCAGAGGCAGCTACCCAAGGCCTCAAGCTCTTATGAGAGAGAGCTTAGGAGGAATTCAGCAGTAACGTGAAAAACAGGTACAAGATGTCTCAAGTTAAATAGAAAAACTGAAGTGAATACATGACTGGCTGAAAACTGTGGTTGTAAGTAACTTGCCCAAAGTCATGTAAGGATTGTGCAGCTAGGGACAGAATCTTGCCTGGCTTTTGGAAGAGGTGAAAGTTGCTTACAAAGCCAAATCTAGCCTTTTGAAATCGGATCTTGCTGGAGAGCCACAGTTCTTAGGAACACTTACTGAAGGAATTATGTGCAAAAAATAAT